AGCCGCCGCATGTAAAACATTTGAAGGAACTTATCTTGATTGTCTCATCGGTTGGGGTAGATGATGATGAAGCTCTCGGCTTGAAGTTGCTTGTAGTAGGAGGATGACTTGAGGTTGTCGAAGTTTTCTTGTAACTTGATTTGTCGCCGTTGCTTGTAGATGGCTTGGTTGAGGTCGAAATTGTTGGAGTTGTTGAAGCTTGATGGGTTGGAGAAACCATAGGACTTGGATGAGAACTTGGCATATTTGAAGTCATCTTGCACTTGACATTCCGCCTTGGTAGCTTGATGCACTATCTCGATGAGGTTCAAGTATGGTTGGAAGTTGGCAATCTTCTTGATTGGGTGATTGATTCCATTCAAGAAACGTGCCATAGTTTGCTCATCATCTTCCGTGCCATTAGCTCGTATCATGGCAATCTCCATTTCTTTGTAGTATTCTTCAACACTCTTGGTTCCTTGCTTGAGAAGTTGGAGTTTCTTGAAGAGGTCGCGATTGTAGTATGTTGGCACGAAACGTGCTCTCATGACATCCTTCATTTGCGCCCAAGTAGTGATGGGTGGTTCGCCTCTTGCCTCACGGCGCTCAATGACTTGTTCCCACCAAATGAGGACGTAGTCTTGGAACTCAAGGGATGCCATCGTGATCTTCTTCTCTTCCTAATAGTTGTGCAAGTGGAAGATTTTGTCAACCTTCAATGCCCATGAAAGGTACTCTTTGGGATCATTCCTTCCGTTGAACTTGGGCATGGTGAACTTAAGCTTCCCGTAGCGTTTCTCTTCATTGTGTTGGGGTCGGGGATGATGACGTCCTTGACGAGGAGGATCATCTCCCTCAACTTGCTCTTGTCTTGGAGGATTTCCATTGTCTTCTTGCTCTTGTTGAACTTGAGGTGCTTGTCAAGCTTGTGGAGGAGCTTGAGGGACTTGACGATGCACTCTTGATTGAAAAATCCTCTCTTGAACCTCCTCGTGAAGCGCTTCTTGGTGATGATGACTTTGCCGGTTGTGTGTGGCTACGACTCGACTTGAATCTCGGAGGGCACGTTACGCCTCAAGTGCTTGAGCTTCACGTAGTTGTTGTTCTTGGCGTTCTGCCTCGGCATCTTGTTCATCTTGATGTTGTCTCGCTTGTTCTTCCTCTTCTTGATGGCGTTGGCGTTGCCGTTCTCGTGCTTGCGTGAAAGTAGCTTGGTTTTGACGGCGTCGTTGCTCTTGAGAGTCGTTGTCGTGTAGAGGATTGCGGTTTGCTTGACGGTCTTGGCGCGCGGCACGTCGAAGAGTATTCGATGTCGGTGTACTTGAGCCGAAGATGGTGTCGTCAGAGTGTCGACTTGAGCGGCCCCATCTTGATTAGGACGAAGTGGAAGAAGAGCGGTTGAGTAACAAAACACGAATCTCGTCCATTCTTGCGTCATTCTCTTGTTTGTGATCATCGAGCTTGTTGTCGAAGTAGTCTCTTGTACATTGCTCAGAGAGTTGCAAGTCGGTGGCGAGGTTGTCGATGTGTTTGTTCATTGATTGTTGCTCTTGATGCAAAGCACGTTGTGCACCAGAGAGGTGGCTCTTTGTGATGTAGGAGGACATGTCGTCGTCTTGCTCGATGAAAAGTGGGTTGGTAGAAGTACTTGGCCTATCCATTATTCCAAGCAAATATGTGAGCGGGAGAAAGAGAAGAACTTATACCAAATGTACCTTGACTGATGTTGAAGACAGATCAATGATCACTCAAATGTGGAACAAGGAAATAGCACAATTGGTACCAATTCTTGTCGGTTTCTCACACCTACACAAGTAAAAGCTTATGGTGGAGCTCGGTTAGGATGGTGGCACAAAATTTGATGCAATTGTTAGTGGACTTCAATAATGTTGGAAAAGATTCACAAATTTGCAAATGCAACAAGTAGACCAATAGCAAGATATGGTACACGGGAACTCACACACGGAGAGATAAATGGGGTCGTGCAACCAAGGGATGAGCCAAAATGTGGAATCCATGAAAATGCTCTTGTTGCGCAACACTAGAGAGACGCTAGCACGATTGCACAATAGGCGGATACGAAGACTTGTGCACAACCTACCAAGCAAGAATGCAATGACTTCTATCCCAAGTATGCTCTATGTATGGTGTTCCAATGATATGATCCTAGATGATCTAGTATGACAATCTTAATGTAGTATGATGCTATGGTTCTTGCTTAAAAGTTGTTCGCTTATCTTTCCCTTTTGCTTAAAAGCTTGTTTGGCTCTTTTCTCTTTTGAGCTCTTTTCTCATGTAACGCTTCATGAACCAAGATAGCAATTGTGTATGCGATGACAACCTTGTGACACAAAACATGATACCAAGATATGGACCAAGATGATATGGTATGTATGCTATGGTAAGTATGACCACTAGTGTGCACAAGTGACGTTACCGACAATACTCAAAGGCTAGTCTTGATGGGCAAGATACGCAAAATTGGGCTATGGTGGTTATCAATGCAATGGCAAGGTTGTAATGATGGTGTATCGCGATACCAAGAAGAGGTTACCGTTCTTACTTACGGTATGGTGTCAAAATGGTGGGGTGGTTGTTGTCGATGACGAATCCATGGCGAAGATGAGCGGCGGTGATGTTGATGTTGAACCGTCCCTAAGTAGCCGAAACGCGTTAGGAAACGAGAACCGCAACTCAAAGTCTCAAAGCAAAATGTAGAAAAATTGTGCCAGAGTGCGAAACGAGTAAGCAATGGTGGTTGTGCAAAGCGATTGTGGTATTTGGGGTGCGTATGCAGAAGGGGAGGGGTTAATGGAGTGTGTATGCGGAAGTGGAGGTGGAGAGGTGGTGGTGGTCGAACTGAAATTTCTTAGTTTCGTTAGGAAACGTCGGACGTCCGGTGGTGGAGCGGTCGTCCGATCGTCAGGTGTCTGGTGGTTGGCGGACGTCCAGTGCCTGGGCGATTTCGGGCACGGGATGAACAACTAGGGTTCGTGGTGGTGGAGGCAAAATTGGTCAAATCCGGGCGATTTTGTGGATGGAAAAGGTGGGGATGATGGGGGAAAGCTAGATCCACTCGTGGCAAAGCAAATCCATGGATCAAATCCAACAAAACTTCATCACACCAACAAATCAAAAAAAAATTGGGGCTATTTTTGGTGGGGATTTTCGAAATTGGGGAAGAACACAACAAAATCAAGCTAGAAAACGAAGAGGGGAGGCTCCGAAATCGTGATCAACGTGGCTCATGATACCAAGATGATGTAGGGTGGAACCATATACGTCCGATCTTTCACGAAAGGAGAGGATCCCATGAAGAACACAAGGGGAAAACACAAAAGGAAACACAAGAGAATCACTCAAACCAACGAGATTAGGTCACACATATGCTAGGTCCTTGAAACACAAAGAGATACACGATCCGAATCCAACAAAGGACGATACATAGGTAACCGGTTCTTCTCCGAGAGGAGGTCTTGAGGTCTTCCCGTTAGGGGTCTTGAATCCAAGTGGATCTTCTCTGAAGAGGTGACGGTCCCTCGCGATGGAGTAGATCCAGATGGATGAGCGAAGCTCTGTCTCACATATGAGCTAACACAACGCTAACCCTAACTAGGAGGAGTAGGAGGTCTATTTATAGTCTTAGTGCAAATGAGGGCGAAGTGAGGGGTACATGGGCCTCGGGTCCGAAACTGTGCACAAACAGGTACCGGACGTCCGGAGGGTTTCGGTCGTCCGGTGGCTCGTGGGCGTCCGGACGTCCGGTAGTCGCGCACTTCCGCTGGTTCTGGCTCGGTCGAGGTGGCACCGGATTTCCGGAGATGTCTGGTCGTCCGGTCGCGTCGGACATCCGCTGTTTTGGCTCGGGTGTGAGGACGCTGGTCGTCCGGTCCGGGCCGGACGTCCGCTCACTGTAGCTTGCGTTGGTTGGGGCCTGGTTAGGCTCGGGCTTCAGGTGCCGGACGTTCGGTCCCGACCGGTCGTTCGATGGTTGTAGCTTCAGTGGCAGCTCTTCTTCTTGTCCTTGGCACTTGGTGTCCTCGCCGTTTTGTCCGTTGGATGCAACTGCTCCGTGGCCTTCCTTCAAGTACTTGAACACACATAGTGTTTTCGCTTGAGGTAGTAGTCATGTCTCATGTATAGAAAGTGGTAGTTCGGAGAGGAGCGAGTTCACCTTATCTTCGATAGCCTTTGCTCGGGCTCTTGTCATTGGTCCAAGTGGTGTCGTGGGAGACGGAGGTAAGTCCATGAGGATGACATTGGGATGCTCCGCATCACTATTTCTATCACATGCGTTTAATCTTGTAACTAGCAAGACAAGGGGACTGACAATCCTCCTACCGTGTTAGGGACGAGTGTGTGTGTGTGTGTTATGTGTAGGTGCTGCTTACGTTGTTAGACTGAGATACTTTTACTTGATTGATAACCTCGGTCCTGTAAATGAGAGAAATACTTATTATCATTCTGCTTCATCCTTATTCTCGAGGGAATCCCAACAACCCTTGCAGGAGCAATAATGGCTCTAGCCCTACATTCCACCGCCTCTCGGCCCCCTACCTTTATATTCTTTAGAAAATCTTGAAAACACCACCTTATTATTCCATGCCGATCAAATTTAAAGATTTTTCAATTCTTCGCCAGAGGGAGAATCCATCATAGCAACCATCATCAGCGAAACAAGATACACGCAAACACGATACATTTTTCATTTCTCTAAAATAAGACAACTTTTTTTTGAGCAAACATTTTTCCGAGAGAATTTTGAGCAAACATGATACACGCAATTGAAAAATCGCAGCGAAACCAGAACCGCGAGCAAAGTGGGCCGGTTCGGTCGGCGATCAAACACACACATTCCGAACTGGGTCGGTTACCGACATTATTGGGTCTGTGGCTTGGGATTGCGTTCCTTTCTTCACGCAGAACAAGAGAGTCGTGGTGGTGAAGTGTTGAGAGGAGAGGCAGAGCCTCGCCATCGCCATCGCCATCCCCATCGCGATTTCATCTTCCCGTCGCAGCAAATGCCGCCGCCGTGCCCGACCCTCTGCCGCCTCCCCGCGACTAACCTCGGCCTCCCTTGGTGCCCCCGGTCCATACCTCTCCCTCGCCTCGCTCTCGCCGCGCGCCGCGCCAGGGCCGTCGCTGCCAGGGCCTCGTCATCCTCTTCCTCGCCGGACTCCTCCTTCGGCTCGCGGATGGAGGACTCTGTCAAGAAGACGCTCGCCGACAACGCCGTCGTCATCTACTCCAAGTCGTGGTGCTCGTAAGAACCTCACCTGAACTCCAACACAACCAATTCGTTCCACGATTTGTTTTCTGCGATGAATTCATGCGAGACACTCGTTGGTTCCCTTCGTCATATGTGCTGGTGCTTACACTATACCGCAGGTATTCAATGGAGGTCAAGGGTCTCTTCAAGCGGATTGGCGTGGATCCACATGTCATCGAGCTCGACCAGCTCGGTTCGTCCTTCTTCTTCTTCTTCTACTCGTATCTCTATCTATTATCTATTGGCTATTGCTATTGGGTGAATCTTGTGTCGCTTCTTGCCAAGGCATGGCTGTTTCCAAACTGTTTTTTGTTTTTTGAAAGGAACATGCCGTGCATTCCGTTACGTAGTTACATATTAGTGCTGGGCAAATCGCCAGCTACATGGTTCAGTCAGTGCAAATCCTGGGAGTTGGCCCAACAAAGTCTCACACAGACCAGCTTCCAAAGTAGTTCCATGCGCAGCTAAACCATGCACCAGCATATGCCCGAGGGCTGGACACAACGCTTACAGCTGAAAAGCCCACACGCAGCTGGAATTTGATACTACTGACAATTGCTCATAACCCAGCAAAAAAAAACCCCAAACAAACAGACAATTGCTCCTAGTTCCGCTAGATCATAGACTTCAGAGTTCACTGCCCTCATCAGTTGCATTGAATCAGTTTCAAACATTACTCTGTCGCGCCCCATCGACATTTTAATAGCATATAACAATGCCAAGGTTTCCGTTACCCTCACCTGCAGCCATCGCCTTGCATTGGTCATTTCTGATAATGAGTCCCCAGCCGCCAGAGTTGGAGTCCCTGTGGAAAGCGGCATCAGTGTTAATCTTGAGAATCCCAGCCGGTGGCCGAGACAATTTGTGGTTTAGCTGCTGCTTTTGCCCTTTAGCAGTCTTTTTGTTCTCCATTACATTCATAAGATGATAATTAACAGAAGAGCAAATATGCTCAAGCGAGATGGGGCCTTCGCCCGAGTTTGCCTTATGGCGTTCACACCGCCAGCTCCAAAGGAGCGAGCAAGATTTTATTTTATCCTCCTCTGATGATGTAAGGATCTGTTCTAGGGTGCTTATAGCACTGGTACAGCCAGCTAAAAGCAACCTGATATGCTCCTGTAAGATACGAGCTACGGATTCGAGATCGATCTAGGAATTTAGGTGGAATTCATAGCTGTTCTTCCCAACCTCCCTCACAGCGGATTCGAATTACAGAGTGGTGCCGGCCGAAGCCTCATCTAGTGCCAAGCCGAGGAAGAAGAACTCCTAGCTCACCTACTTATACACGCTAACCTATTACACCCTTATCGGGCCCAGTTCGGGCTTGCAAGCCACTGGGGAAGCCTTTTCTCGAGAGTGGGCTGCGCCGCTGGCCCAGGAGCGTTGCCTTTGAATCTTCCCTCCTTCTCAGCACTGTTGGCGTTATCCATGGAAGTACTAGCGCCCCAAGCCGGAGCTCTTGGAAACTTTTGCTTCAAGGAATCAGTATCCTCCCAGGTGGCCTCCTGGGGCGATGAATTACTCCACTCCACAAGTACTTGAGCAACAGTACAGTCCCCTTTGCGCCTGATTCTCTGTTGCAACACTCGCACAGGAATCTGAATGAGTGAAAGGTCAGAAGGAAGTGATGATTGTACCTGAGAAGGAAGCTTTATGTATTGCTTGAGATGAGAAGCATGAAAGACTGGGTGTATCTTGCTTGATTCTGGAAGTTCCAATCGATAAGCCACCTCTCCAATATGTTCTAAGATCTTATATGGCCCATAAAACTTAAATGACAGCTTATGGTTGGCCCTGTGAACAACAGAAGACTGTACATAAGGTTGCAATTGCAGAAATACCTCCTGTCCAACCGCAAACTGCTTGTCAGTTTGATGTTTATCTGCATAATTCTTCATTCGTTGTTGGGCCCTAAGGAGATGCTGTCTCACAGACTGATTGATGACTTCTCTCTCCTCTAGCCATTGCTGGATATCTGGTGGATCAATAGTATCAGATGGAGTGATTGCAAAGTATCTAGGACTGTGCCCATAAAGCACTTCAAACAGAGTTTTTCCACTGCTGAATGCCAGTTGGTGTTGTACCAGAATTCACACAAGGAAATCCACTTTTTCCATTTCTTGGGATGAGCACCAACAAAGCATCTGAGGAAACATTCTATCTGCTGATTCACTCTCTCAGTCTGTCCATCAGTTTCAGGGTGATATGCTGTGCTCATATTCAAGACAACACCTGTTCTTTTGATAAGATGCTGCCAAAATGCACTGGTAAAGACTGGGTCCCTGTCAGACACAATAAACTCAGGCATGCCATGCAGCTTATACACATTCTCCAAGAAGATCTCAGCAATTATAGGAGCAGTATATGGATGTTTGATTGGAATAAAATGACCATATCTTGTGAACCTGTCAATGACAACCATCAGACAATCAAAAGCTTCAGAACTGGGCAACCCAGAGATGAAATCCATAGTGACAGTTTCCCAAGCCTTCTTTGGAATAGGCAATGGAGATAACAATCCTGGGTAGTTAATCCTTTCTGGTTTGGCCTTTTGGCAAATTAAACAAGATTGGACTCTCTGTTTGATGTAACTTTTCATCCCTTTCCAACTGAACAGGGAATGTATTATGTTATATGTAACAGGGAACCCTGAGTGCCCCCCAATTGGGCTGGAATATTTTGTCCTGAAGCAATGTTTGTTCACCAATCCAGATGCAGCCTTTGTGTCTAAGTAGACCATTAATCAATGTACATGGGGGTTTATATTTAGGATCCACAGCCAGCTGCTGAATAATGTCCATGGTAGAAGCATCAGAGGCATAACCTTGAGCTATCTCCTGCAACCAACTTGGCAAAACACCAGATATTGCAAATGACTGGGCTGCTTGATGAGGCTTCTGGAAAGGACATCAGCTGCTGTATTATCACTTCCCCTTTTTGTAATGAATTTCATAGTCAAGACCCATCAACTTTGTGTAAGCCTTATGCTACCAGGGAGTGTGTAATCTTTGATCAGCTATATGTGACAAACTTTTCTGATCGGTCTTGATTATAAACTGCTGCATTTGCAGATATGGCCTCCAAGTTTCTACAGCTAAAAGTATTGCCATGTACTCCTTTTCATGTACAGACAAACCTTTGTTTCTTGGACCTAAAGCCTTACTCACAAAGGCTAGAGGATGCCCTTTTTGCATTAGAACTGCCCCTATTCCAGTGTCACAAGCATCTGTCTCAATCATGAAAGGTTGTGAAAAATCTGGCAGGGCTAAAACTGGAGCTGAGATCAGGGACTTCTTAAGTGTAGAGAATGCTTCTTCAGCCATTGGATTCCATACAAAAACTGTACCCTTCCTTAGCAATTCAGAAAGAGGTTTACTGATCACTCCATATGATTTGATGAATTTTCTGTAGTATCCTGTCAAACCCAAAAATCACCTCACTTCCTTGGTATTAGAGGGAGTTGGCCAATTATCAACAGCTGTAATTTTACTGGGATCAGTAGAGACTCCTTGAGCACTAATGACATGCCCTAGGTAGGATACTTGCTGTTTGGCAAATTCACACTTGCTTAGTTTAACCTTCCGTTGTTTTCTTCCATAATTTGCAATACAGCAGACAAGTGTTCAATATGTTCTCTGAGAGTCTTGCTGAAGACATGAATGTCATCGAAGAAGCACACTGCATACTTCCTGAGAACAGGGGACAAATCAATATTCACTAGTGGCTGGGGCGTGCCATTGGCACGCCTCCTGAGCGTTCATGTGCGCACTTATCTAGTTTATGCACCTCCGCAGGTTTAGGTTGATCCTTAATGGCACTTATACACAAGAGTAAGGGGCTGTTTGGTTCTAGGCCTAGCCATGCCACACTTTGCCATACAATGTTGCCATACTTGCCTAAGGTTAGTTCTTCAAAATGAGAGCCACAAGTTGGCAAGCCTAAGGGAATCTTGCCACACTTTTTGAGAGTATGTGATGTGGGACCCTAGTGTGGCTTGCCTAAGGTGTGGCTTGAACCAAACACCCACCTAAACTGGTCAAACTTGCCTAACCTTAGGTGTGGCAACCTTAGGCAAACTTAGTCTCAAACCAAACAGCCCATAAGTAATTTGACTACATAATTATAAAAAAAAGTGTTTTGACTACAATGATTTATTACAAATATGCTATTATGAGGATCACATGTGCTCAAACAAGTGTTTTCATCATTCCAATTCCCATTGAACTGATCCTTGATTCTTTTTTTAACGTCATGTTGAGTAGGAGAGTCTCCTGTATATTTTCATCAAGTAGCTGATCCTTGATTCTGGTGCATGCCTATAAGAAAGAACACATATTTATGTATATTCCATCAAGTATATGCCAGAAATATCAACAAGCAAAGTTGAATGTAAACCTGTGCAGTTTGACCTCAAGTCCCACCATCCTAGAAACAGATGGATCATCATCCTTGCGGGTGTGTATGGAGTGCTTTCATCCTTGCTCTAGAAACAAATTTGTATATGTCAATTTGCTAGTGCCAATCATATGTGTAAAGACAAGGGTAAACATGAACCGGATATATGATTTTATTTCCAGCATACTGCCCCTTGATATGTTTTGCTTATGTAGAAATGCTTTAAAGTAAATAAAAAATACTCAATACAGATTTCGTTCTTTATGTGCTGAAGTAAAAGTAGCTAGTATCCATATAAACACAAGTGATTCGGTTCATCTAAAACACATCAGGAAACGTAAACAAAACACATATAGTGTTGAAATTTAGATCTTAGACTGAATATCTGAAACGGACAACAGGAGCAAGTCTCAGTCCAAAAATACTGCCTACGCCTAACATGTTACAGAACATTAAACTAACACATACACCTAATCAAGTGGCCACCTAGTCAAAGTAGCTCATGTGCTCATTCCTGGAGAAACAAGGCATCCACTTTAATAGTAAACTCACACTGTTTATTTTTTCGAAACATGAGCGCTGCTCATATGAAGTAGGATGCATGTACCACAGTAATTCAATGTTCAGTTAGTCGAAGGAGAGAGAATGTCAGTATAAATACAAATAGAATCCTATCGGTTCTCAATCTTCTGGAGAAAATGATGTTGACCGGTTGCTCTCAACATCATTATACAGATGATGTTCTCTATAAGACCTCAACCATCGAGCGAGATTAGCAAATGTTGATATTTGGATTTT